CCAGACCCTGCAGTACCCGGTCCGTCCGACAGGCGGCAGTGAACACATCAGGCGCCTGCAGCCAAGTAGGTGTCGCTGCAAAAAAAGAAGCTTTCATCTTGTCCAACAAAAGTCCCGCAGAGAGAACTAACACGGCCATGGAGGTTCCTGGACCCGATAGCGATTGGAGGAGCCCTCAGTTTCGACAGAAAGTCGTAACTCAGATGTGAGAATCTTCACTTCTTTTTCCGGGTTTCAGCTAATTTCCTGTGAGCTAGGTTAACGTTAGCTTCTCGGCTAGGTGAAGCGTAACTTCCAGCCTTACGCGTAAAAAACAGGAAATTAAAAATAAAATGTGAAATCATTTTGTCGTCTGGGTCCACAAATAAGATATGAAGTGAAACAGTAAAGTTTAAAATCATTATTTAATTCGGCTTCAATAAACTAAACTTAATTACTATAAATTATGTATTTTACAATGATTTTATGAACTGCTAAATCAGCTCGTTCTTTGACTCCTCATAAACATCAATTTTTCATCGGGAGTTAAACAATTTATTAATGTTTCATTTTGTAAATAAGCTGTAGATGACTACAATGACAACTGACAATGAGACTAACCTGTATAATTAAAGGTTGACTTAAAAGATGTGTAAAATATTACAAAAATGTTTTTGTTTGGAACCTGATGAGTTTCTTTAATAATCATCAATAATTTTGGCCATTGCATATGAACTTTTATCATTAAAATATGTTCAGTTGTGTGAATTTAAAAAATAATATCAGAATGACTATGTTTCAGGGGCAGTCAATAATCTTTGCAAACTGTTGGGATGACTCTCAGGCATGTGGATATCCTAACTGGGCTTTTGTCAAGTCGGCAAGGAAATCTACAAAACGCACTGAACAGAACCAAGAGAAAAAGAGACGGAAAAACATTGTAATCAGCTTTTGAGACTTTCATTAAATCTCATAAGGTATTTTGTTAACAGAACACACTTTCATAATAATAAAAAGGCACAAAATACATAAAAAAAGAAACAATTACAGCTGTTGGGGAACTTTAATAAAATACAAGTGTGAAATGCCAAGATGGCTGACTTCCTTTTGGGTTTAGGCCACAACTCCAGAGTCTGGGTAGGTTCTGGTGTGTTAAACCATCTTTACATGAATTTTTTCGGAGCGTATGTTTGCTTTAGTTTCTTGGCTCCGTTTGTTAAAAGAAGAAGAATCTTGTGGGAAAAGAAAACCCATCCATCCATTTTCTTCCGCTTATCCGGGGTCGGGTCGCGGGGGTAGCAGCCTAAGTAGGGAGGCCCAGACTTCTCTCTCCCCAGCCACTTGGGCCAGCTCTTCCGGGGGAATCCCGAGGCGTTCCCAGGCCAGCCGAGAAACATAGTCCCTCCAGCGTGTCCTGAGTCTTCCTTTGGGTCTCCTTCCGGTGGGACGTGTCCAGAACACCTCACCAGGGAGGCGTCCAGGAGGCATCCTAAACAGATGCCCGAGCCACCTCAACTGGCTCCTCTCGACGTGGAGAAGCAGCGGCTCTACTTGAGTCCCTCCCGGATGATCGAGCTTCTCACCCTATCTCTAAGGGAGAGCCCAGACACCCTGCGGAGAAAACTAATTTCGGCCGCTTGTTGTATCCGAGGTCTCATTCTTTCGGTCACAACCCAAATCTCATGACCATAGATGAGGGTAGGACCTCCTCCCTGACCCGGAGAGGGCACTCTACCCTTTTCCGGCTCAAGACCATGGCCTTGGATTTGGAGGAACCGATCTTCATCCCGGCCGCGTCACATTCGGCTGCGAACCGCTCCAGCGAAAGCTGTAGATCACGATCTGATGAAGCCAATAAGACCACATCATCTGCAAAAAGCAGAGACGCAATCCTAAGGCCACCAAAACGGATCCCCTCAACACCTTGGCTGCGCCTAGAAATTCTGTCCATAAAAGTTATGAACAGAATCGGTGACAAAGGGCAACCTTGGCAGAGTCCAACTCTCACCGGGAACAAGCCCGACTTACTGCCGGCGATGTGGACCAGGCTCTGACACCGGTCATACAGGAACCTAACAGCCCGTATCAAAGGGCCCGGTACCCCATACTCCCAGAGTACCCCCCACAGGGTTCCCCGAGGGACGTGGTCAAACGCCTTCTCCAAGTCCACAAAGCACATGTAGACCGGTTGGGCAAACTTCCACGCACCCTCCAGGACCCTGCTGAGAGTGTAGAGCTGGTCCAGTGTTCCACGGCCAGGACGAAAACCGCACTGCTCCTCCTGAATCCGAGGTTCGACTATCCGACGGACCCTCCTCTCCAGAACCCCCGAATAGACCTTACCAGGGAGGCTTAAGAGCGTGATTCCCCTGTAGTTGGAACACACTCTACGGTCCCCCTTTTTGAATAGGGGGACCACCACCCCGGTCTGCCAATCCAGGGGAACTTCCCCCGATGTCCACGCAATATTGCAGAGTCGCGTAAGCCAACACAACCCTACAACATCCAGAGCCTTAAGGAACTCAGGGCGAATCTCATCCACCCCTGGGGCCCTGCCACCGAGGAGCTTTTTAACCACCTCGGTGACCTCAGCACCAGAGATTGGAGGGCCCGACCCAGAGTCCCCAGGCTCCGCTTCCTCAGTGGAAGACGTGCCGGTGGGATTGAGGAGGTCTTCAAAGTATTCCACCCACCGACCCACAACATCCTGAGTTGAGGTCAGCAGCACACCACTCCCACTATAAACAGTGTTGGTGGCGTACCGCTTCCCCCCCGAGACGCCGGATGGTGGACCAGAATTGCCTCGAAGCCATGCGGAAGTTGGAAGCCTCTCTGAACTCCTCCCATGCCTGAGTTTTTGCCTCAGCGACCACCCGAGCCGCATGTCGCTTGGACTGCCGGTACCCATCAGCTGCTTCCGGGGTCCCACAGGCCAAAAAGGCCCGATAGGACTCCTTCTTCAGCCTGACAGCATCCCTCACCGACGGTGTTCACCATCGGGTTCGAGGGTTGCCGCCGCGACAGGCGCCGACAACCTTGCGGCCGCAGCTCCGGTAAGCCGCCTCGACAATAGAGACACGAAACATGGTCCACTCAGACTCAATGTCCCCCACCTCCCTCGGAACATATTCAAAGTTCTCCCGGAGGTGGGAGTTAAAACTCCGTCTCACAGGAGACTCTGCCAGACGTTCCCAGCAAACCCTCACAATACGTTTGGATCTGCCAGGTCTGACTGGCATCCTCCCCCACCATCGGAGCCAACTCACCACCAGGTAGTGATCAGTGGACAGCTCCGCCCCTCTCTTCACCCGAGTGTCCAAGACATGTGGCCGCAGATCAGATGAGACGATGACAAAGTCGATCATCAAACTGCGGCCTAGGGTGTCCTGGTGCCAAGAGCACATATGGACACCCTTATGCTTGAACAAGGTGTTCCTTATTGACAATCCATGACGAGCACAGAAGTCCAACAACAGAACACCACTCTGGTTCAGATCGGGGGGGGCTTTCCTCCCAACCACACCCCTCCAGGTCTCACTTTCATTGCCCACATGAGCATTTGAAGTCCCCCAGCAGAACAAGGGAGTCCCTAGGAGGTGCACTTTCTAGTACCCCCACCAAGGACTCCAGAAAGGGTGGATAATCTGAACTGCCGTTTGGTGCATAAGCACAAACGACAGTCAGAACCCGTCCCCCCACACATAGGCGTAGGAAGGCCACCCTCTCATTCACCGGGGTGAACCCCAACACACAGGCACCAAGTTGGGGGGCAATAAGTATGCCCACTCCTGCTCGGCGCCTCTCACCAGGGGCAACTCCAGAGTGGAAGAGTGTCCAGCCCCTCTCAAGGAAACTGGTTCCAGAGCCAAAGCCATACGTAGAGGTGAGTCTGACTATTTCTAACCAGAACCTCTCAGCCTCACACACCAGCTCAGGCTCCTTTCCCACCAGTGAGGTGACATTCCATATCCCAATAGCCAGCTTCTGTAGCCGAGGATCAGACCGCCAGGGTCCCCGCCCTCGGCCACCACCCATCCCACTTTGCACCCGACCCCTTTGGTCCCTCCCACAGATGGTGAGCCCGTGGGAAGGGGGACCCACTTCTCCTCTTAGGGCTGTGCCCGGCCGAGCTCCATGGGTAAAAGCCCGGCCACCAGGCACTCGCCCGTGTGCCCCACCTCCAGGCCTGGCTCTAGAGTGGGGCCCCGGTGACCCACGTCCGGGCAAGGGAACATTAAGTCCGTTTATTTCTCTCATCATTGGGGTCTTTGGGCTGCACTTTGTCTGGTCCATCACCTAGGACCTGTCTGCCATGGGTGACCCTACTAGGGGCGTAAACCCCCTGACAGCATAGCTCCTAGGATCATTGGGACACTCAAACCCCTCCACCACGGTAAGGTGGCAGCCCAGGGAGGGGAAAAGGAAAGAAGAAACCCAACGAATCATCTGAGATGCTTCTGTGAGGTCACGACTGGTCTCAGTTCTGTGAGGTCATGACTGGACTTAAAGTTTGATGTGTTCTTTTTCCAGTGAAGATGCCATGAGGAAGGCAGGAACTGCAAACACCACACAGAAGTCCGGTACCGACATGGAGAACCACGTGTACATCAAAGCCAAAACCAGAGTGAGTCCCGCAGAGATGAAGATGATGATGACAATGCTATTGTTGTGGAAGTGAAATCAAAATGAGCTGACGTTTGTTTCAGGAGGAGTATTTATCTCTGGTGGCGAGGCTCATCATCCATTTCAGAGACATCCGTGAGTACTGACCCACCGTCGGCCATCTTTAGGACCTACTGATGCAGTTCTTTTCTTAGTTTTGGAGGCAAATTGTTCTGGATCTACCATCAGTACCATCTTGACTCTGACTGCAGGGAGCTGCTGTGAAACTAATCAGGTGTTGATTCTTTTGTGTTACAGATAGAAAGGCTCTGGGAGGATCAGGTATGTGCCTGTTTGGTCTCTGGTCGGGGTTTCTCTGCCTTGTTCTGTCCTGTGCTGGACCTGTTTCTGCCGGACTTATGGCGGCCATGTTTTCTGCTGTGCATGTTGGAGCTGCGTAATTTTGTTTGTTGTTTACCCTCTGCCAGATCCCATGAATGCCCTGACTAACCTGACAGGGGTTGGAGGGGGCCCGGGCACCATTGGCATGGGGCCTCGCCCCTCCGGGGCCACGGTGGGGGGCATGGGGGCCATGGGGCCGATGCAGATAGGCCAGCATGCCATGGCAGGGGTGACTGGAAACCCACAAGCCAGTGAGTGTTTCCTGTGCGTGTTGTGTTTGCTGCGTTCTGTGGATGCAGGCTGCGTGGAAACGACTCTGCTTCGGCTCGTTGTGTGTTTGAATTTCTCATCAGAGTTGCTGACCGGGTCAGGCCTTCACTTCCTTCTTCCTCACTCTGCAGTGGGAGGTCCGGGTCAGCTGTCCATTCAGCAGATGGTCCAGCAGCAGCAGCAGCAGACCATGCAGTTCCAGCAGTTCCAGCAGGCACAGCAGCAGCAGCAGCAACAACAACAACAACAACAACAACAACAGCAGCAGCAGAACGCAGCCTTACAGCAGCAGTTCCAGCAGCAGTTCAGAGCCCAGCAGCTGCAGCAGCAACAGGCCCAGAACCAACAGCTGCAGAACCAACAGCTGCAGAACCAACAGCTGCAGAACCAGGTACACACCGTTCAGAGCCCTCTGACCTCAGCAGTGTCTGTGGTTCTTCTGTACTCAGAAACACCTGAACGGGTCGTGTTGGAACGTAGACGAGAGGTTTGCACGTAGCAGAAAATATTTTTTCCTAAAAGCATCTGTGTTCAAAAGAAGTCAAGGCCCGATGTTGGTAAAATGTTGGTTCACATGGGCTTTTCATGATCCTCAGTCAGTGTGTGGTAACTGAACCTGCAGAAAGAAAAAGAATTACAGCAGTGACCCAATCAATAAGTCACAGTTCTAACATTCAATTTAGACATAATTCAAAGTAATAATCAGTAGAGGTGAAACGATACTCAGAAATCAGGTTTCAGGACATTCTCAATACAATTTCATTAAAAACAGCAGATACATTTAAAGCAGAATCACAAAGGAAACAGTGGAAAGGAAAAACTCCCTTTAACAGGAAGAAACCTCCAGCAGAACCAGGCTCTGGACGAGCAGCCATCTACTTTGACTGGCTGGGTTTGAGAGGACGGGAAGTAGAAACAGACAAACAGAATGGCAGGTCCAGGTGTACTTTCTATAGTCCAGGTGTGCTTTCTATAGGAGGACAGACAAAAAACATGTTAAGATAGAAACAATTACAAATACAAACACGAAGAGTAGAACAAGTAAAGACAGAGCAGAGAGAGGACATGTGGTCAGTTTGTCCTCCAGCAGTCTAAGCCTATAGCAGCATAACTAAGGGATAGCTCAGGAAACCCAGGCCGACTCTAACTATAGGATTTATCAAAAAGGAAAGTCTTAAGCCCAGTCTTAAAACTGGACAATGTGTCAGTCTCACGGACAGAAACTGGAAGTTGGTTCCACAAGTGAGGAGCCTGATAACTGAAAGATCTTCCTCCCATTCTGCTTTTGGAAACTCTAGGAACCACAAGTAAACCTGCAGTCTGAGAGTGAAGTGCTCTGTTAGGAAAATATGGAACAATAAGATCTGTAATATAAAATGGAGCTAGGTTGTTGAGAGCTTTGTAGGTTAGAAGTAAGATTTTGAATTCAATTCTCAATTTGACAGGAAGCCAATGGAGAGAAGCTAAAACTGGAGACAGATGATCTCTACTACTAACTCCAGTTAAGACTCTGGCAGCAGCATTTTGGATTAATTGAAGACTTTTTAAAGACGTATTTGGACACCCAGACAACAAACCATTGCAATAGTCCAGTCTAGACATTACAAATGCATGAACCAGTTTTTCTTCATGATTTTTAGATAAAATGTCTCTGAGCAGATCAAAAACCCCAGGACCAGTCTAGATAAATATCTAACATTTCTAATTTTGTGATATTATGCAGGTGGAAGAAGACGGTTCTAATAATGTTTAATGTGGGGGATAAAAGACATGTCCAGATCAAAAATAACACCAAGATTTTTAACATTAGAGCTGGAGGCCAGATTAATGCCATCCAAGGAGGGAGAAAGACTGAAAAATGTATTCCTAAGATGCTCAGGTCCAAAAACTAAAACCTCAGTCTTGTCTGTGTTCAAAGCAGAAAATTTAGGGTCATTCAAGTTTTTGTGTCTTTAAGACATGCTTGTAGTCTAAGTAGCTGATTGGATTCATTGGGTTTCATGGACAAATATAACTGTGTATCATCAACATCATCTTCTTCTTTCAGTTTTCCCTCTTCAGGGGTCTCTACAGCAAGTCATCCTCCTCCATCTCTCTCTGTCCTCTGCATCCTCTGTCCTCACCAACTACCTCCATATCCTCTAACTGCATCCAAATATCTCCTCTTTGTCTTTTTCCTGGCAGCTGCATTTCTAACATCCTTCTACCAATATACCCACTGCCCCTCCTATGGACATATCCAGACCACTGTCCCTCCTCTGGACATGTCCAGACCGCTGTCCCTCCTATGGACATGTCCAGACCACTGTCCCTCCTATGGACATGTCCAGACCACTGTCCCTCCTCTGGATGTGTCCAAACCATCTCAGTCTACATGATGGATTCCTGGGGCCAGTGGAAGATGGTGTGTCTGACCGTATTGTCCGTTGAGGATGTAGAAGACGCATACATAATTGGATTTATGATAGCTGGATTTCTGCTTTTGGAGTTGGCGGGTATCTGGCACATCGACAAATTCGTAAGACGGCAGCAGCGGTTCTGGCAAACGTGAAGCTGCCTGCTTTGTATGAAGGAATGTACCGAGTGGTTAGCTCTCAGACTCAGATGCTGCATGACCTGAGCTGTAAGCTGGACACGATTTCTGAGAACCGCAGGCCACTTGCGGCTTCTGGGACTCACTGGTAGGAATGAATCAACCTTGGAGAAGCTACAAGCTCGGTCCGGCGGTGTGACCATAACATTTGGCTGTTTGGAATTGCCTATGAAGGCAGACATGGAAATTCAAGCAGAGGCTGCCTGACCCAAAATAATTGTGTTATCTGAATTTGGCGTCCCCACTCGGCCTTGAATTGGCCAGCTACCTTAATTTCTCCTGGTTGTTTATGTGAGCGAAAAGCTCTGCTCCCCTTCCGCCCCTATCGCTCCCCTCCTGAGGACATGTGGATCTGTGTCAGAGTTGAGCCGGCTGATAGACACTGTTCCATCTTTATCAGGGCTATGGAACTATCTGGCAGTGTCCACGGACAACTCACTGCCCTCGTCGGCCTCCTCATGCAAAAATGTATTATGATGTCATCATTATGTTGCTGTTTCATATGCTGAGGTCATTTTTTGCTACTCTCGCACTGTGTCCCTTCTAGGACACAGTGTGAGAGGTTTTTTTTTTTTACACCTGCTAAGATGAGGGGCTGGCTGCGGGCCACCGGACCCGGAAACCCGCCTCCAGCCCACATATCTCCCCCCGGCTCGAATCTCCCTCAGAAATGGCAACTCATACTAACAATAAATCAAGGAAACTTGAATTCAGTTTTACCAATTGTATTAAAATCAAGGCAGGAAACGGTTACAGTTTACGGCACTGGTCTCTCCAGTCTGTGACGCAATCACAAACCTGGAAGAGCCCCGATGTCTCGTGTCATTACTCAGAGGGGGCGTGACTAAGTGTGATCTCAACGGATCTTATGTGGTTCTGACGCAAAAGGAAATATGAGACGGTGCTTCAAAAAGCTTTTCTACGTGATGTGGCAAGCAGAAATAAACTCTATTCCTTGACAGATATTGAATCCCAGGGAGACTCTTTTTAGAGTTGCTGGCCCAGTTTAACCCAGTCAGAACCGTGTCATTATTTCATTATAATCCCGTCTTTGAGCAGATCAAAACCCCAGGACCAGTCTAGATAAAAATATCTAACACCTCCACTCCCACTTGTGTTTTTTAATTCCTTATCTGAAAAAAAGGCTGCGCGTCTCGAAGCCGGCGGCCTCAGTCACCTCTGTCTCTCCATGTCTGTTTGTTTATGTTCCTCTCGGACGGGCTGCACAGAAATGTAATTTTGTTGTGCTTCGGTGCAATGACAATAAAGCTGATTCTGGTTTCAATCCACGCTGCATTTGTTCAACCACGTGTCATTACACTCCAAGCGTCTGTCATTTCACGGGGCTTTAAATAAAAGCTAACAGGTAACAATGTTTTCTTCATCCTGTTTGAAATCTGAGCTGGAATCAGTTTCTAAATGTTTTTATGATATTTGCACTTTGTGCCATCAGATGCAGAACAGGATGCAACAACATCTGATGCTGCAGCAGCAAGCTCAGGCTCAAGCTCAAGCTCAAGCTCAAGCTCAAGCTCAGGCTCAGGCTCAGGCTCAGGCTCAGGCTCAAGCTCAAGCTCAAGCTCAAGCTCAAGCTCAGGCTCAAGCTCAAGCTCAAGCTCAGGCTCAAGCTCAGGCCCAAGCTCAAGCTCAAGCTCAGGCCCAGGCTCAGGCTCAGGCCCAGGCCCAGGCCCAGTCCATTCAGCAGATGGTCCAACAGCAGCAGGTTCAGCCAGCCCAGATGCCTCCACACTCTCAACCACAGCCGCCCGGCATGGTGCCTCAGTCTCTGGCCGGATCAATGACCTCAGCTCAGCATGGTTCCATTAACTCTCTGAGCCAGCAGCCGCAGCTGAAGTTCCCGGTGAGAATCAAATCTCCCTGCGTGTTCTGATCCGGAGTAACTCCTCCATCAAAGTTCTAGAGGACTCATCTTCCTCTGCCTGCATGCTTTGCCTTCTGTGTGTTTGTGTAGCAGCCACGCGCAGCCTTACCGCCACAGCAAGCCCAGCAGGCAGCAGCTCAGGCGCAGCTCAACGCCGCCGCAGCTGCCGCCGCAGCCTCTGCTGCTGTACCTGGACAGGTGAGATCTCTGCAGGCGCTGCCTCCTGCTCTGAACCATCTTTACTTTAAGAATCTCACCCGTCCCTCTGCTCTGGTTCCTCCTCTAAAGATGGTCCGTCCTTCGATGCATAATATGATCCGGCTGCCTCGAGGTCCTCAGAACGCCTCCATCCCTCCTCCGAATAGCGTCCCATCTCCTGCCGGGATTGCCGGACAGACGCCGCAGGTTCATGTCCACACAGAATGACATTAAACTCCCAATATTTGTTTTAAGAATAAGCCACTGAAGAAAGAAATTTAACATAAGAACTAAATCTAAAAAAAAAAAAGAATCACGTTAGAACAAAGTTTACAAAAATACATCTACAGCCAGAAACCAACCTTTCAGACACAAACTCACCTGGACACCACACCTCTGTCATCGTCCAATCACCTCCACAGGTTCAACAGCACCCCATGATGTCGTCACCCTCACCTGTGCAGGTGCCCACGCCACAGATGCCACCACCTCCCCAGCCATCACCGCAGCCCCCCTCTTCCCAGCCAAACTCTGCCAGGTACAACAAGGGTTGTCAGGCCCCACCCCACTACCTGCTGCAGGACTGTTTAACTCTCTCTGCTTCTTCCCTTCAGTTCCGGTCCAACGCCGTCTCCGGGGGGGTTCCAGCCCAGCCCATCTCCTCAGCCCTCCCCCAGCTCTGCCTCCTCCAGAACCCCCCAGCCAAGCCACGGAGTACCCTCACCTGGACCACTCAACACTCCAGGTAATACATCTGCATCATTACCATGTGGTGGACTTCCTGCCATTTTGGCATCTTCACAGGAAGTGTTTAAACGTTCATTGTGTCACTTCCTATTGGCAGGTAACCCCAGCTCGGTGATGAGTCCAGCAGGAGCCACGTCCCTGGAGGACCAGCAGTACATGGAAAAACTGAAGCAGCTCTCCAAATACATCGAGCCACTTCGCCGCATGATCAACAAGATCGATAAAAACGAAGGTCGGCTGCTGACGATGTATCACATACAAACACAAAACAAATACATTATCACTCACCTTTTACTGGTGGGCGATGAATTTCTAAAAAAGACGTCTTGAACCCAGATGCAGATTTAAATAAAAAATATTTCAAATAATAAAAGCAAAGCAAGGAGCTCAGTGTCCCTGCCCGGATGTGGGTTACTGGGGCCCCACCCTGGAGCTAGGCCTGGGGGAGGGGCTCGCTGTTGATGGTCTCTACCCAACTCAACTCAACTCAACTTTATTTTGGTAAATTAGCATTGCAGAAAAAGGAAAACAATATAGACTACTTTTGACAAATCAATAATTTACCAAAAAAGGAATAGGCTGAAGCCGAGGCTTATACTTGCCTACCCCCTGTCTCTACCCATGGGGCCCAGTTGAGCTCAGCTCGAATGAGCAACATGGGTTTGCCTTCCTGTGGGCCCACCACCTGCAGGAGGGGCTATATGGGTGCATGACGCCATGGACAGTGGCTGAAGGCAGGGGCCTTGGCGCTCTGACCCTGGCTTAACTAGCTCTTGGGACATGGAACGTAACTTCTTTGGCAGGGAAGGAGCCTGAGCTTGGGCGTGAGTTTGAGAGGTACTGACTAGATTTAGTTGAGCTCACCTCAACGCACAGCATGGACTCTGGAACCAATCTCATTGAGAGGGGCTGTACCTTATTCCACTCTGGTTGCCCATGATGAGAGGCGCCGAGCTGGTGTGGGTCTACTTGTAGCCCCTGACTTGGTGCCTGTGTGTTGGAGTTTTCCCCGGTGGATGAGAGGGTGTCTTCCCTGCACCTTCGGTAGGGGGGACGGGCTCTGACTGTTGTTTGTACCTACATGCCAAACAACAGTTCAGAGTATCTGGTATTCTTGGAGTCCTTGGCGGGGGTGCAGGAAGGTGCACCTTTATTCTGCTGGGGGACTTCAATGCCCACGTGGGTAACGACAGTGTGACCTGGAGGGGCGTGACTGGGAGGAACGGCCTCGGATCTGAACTCGAGCGATGTTCTGTTGTTGTACTTCTGTGCTAGTCATAGTTTGTCCATCACAAACACCATGTTCGAACATAAGGGTGTCCATAAGTGCACTTGGTACCAGGACGCCCTACGTCGTAGATCAATGATAGACTTTGTAGTGGTGTCGTCTAATTTGCAGCCGTTTGTTTTGGACACTCGGGTGAAGAGAAGAGCTGAGCTGTCAACTGATCACCATCTGATAGTGAGTTGGATCAGATGGCGGGGAAAGATGCCGGACAGACCTGGAAGACCCAAACATGTAGTGAGGGTTTGCTGGGAATGCCTGGCAGAAGAACCCGTCAGAAAGATCTTCAACTCACACCTTTGGGAGAGCTTTAACCACATCCCAGCTGAGGCTGGGGACATTGAGTCTGAGTGGACCATGTTCCACGACTCAATTGTTGAGGTAGCTGCCTAGAGTTGTGGCCACAAGGTTATCTGTGCTTCTTGCTGTGGCCATCCTCGAACTCGGTGGTGGACACCTCAGGGTAGGGAGACTGCCAAGCTGAAGGAGTCCTACCGGTCCTTGTTAGCAGGTGGGACTCCGGAGGCAGCTGAGGAGTACCAGAGGGCCAAGCGGTCCACATCTTTGGCTGTTGCTGAGGCAAATTGTGGTGGGTGCTCTATGAGTGTGGGGTTGGGGGCCCGTTGTTATGGGCTGTTCAGTCCGTATACAAGCGGTGCGAGAGTTTGGTTTGCATTGTCAGTAGCAAGTCGGACCCCTTCAGGGTGGGAGTTGGACTCCACTAGGGCTGCCCATTGTCACCAATTCTATTCATCATTTTTATGGACAGAATTTCTCGGTGCAGCCAGGAAGTGGAGGGAGTCCGGTTCGGTGGCCTCAGGATTCCATCTCTGCTCTTTGCAGATGATGTGGTCCTGTTGGAGTCATTGTGCCGTGATCTCCAGCTCTCACTGGAGCGGTTCACAGCCGAGTGTGAAGCAGCTGGGATGAGATTTAGCACCTCTAAATCTGAGGCCATGGTCCTCAGTCTTGTAATCTTCAGGTTGAGGGAGAGGTTGTGCCTCATGTGGAGGAGTTCAAGTGTCTCAGAGTTTTGTTCACGAGTGAGGGAAGAATGGAGCGTGAGATTGACAGATGGATTGGTGCAGCATCTGCAGTATTGTGGACTCTATACCCATCCATTGTGTTAAAGAGGGAGCTGAGTTGTAAGGCAAAGTTCTCTGTTTACCGGTCAGTCTACATTCCTACCCTCACCTATCGTCATGAACTCTGGTAAGGATGCTCCCTGGGTGCCTCCCTAGGGAGGTGCTTTGGGCATGTTGGACTGGGAGGAGACCCTGGGGAAGACTCAGGACACGCTGGAGACTACGTCTCTTGGTTTGTCTGGGAACACCTTGGAGTCCTCCCAGAAGAGCTGGAAGAGGTGGCTGTGGAAAGAGATGTCTGGACCTCCCTGCTCAAGATGCTGCCCCCGAGACCTGATTTTGGAACAAGCAATGATGGATGGAAACAGTTTTTATGCAGCCTTAGCCAATCAGAATGCTAGATTTCCCCGCCTTTTTTTAGTGAACCAGCGTGTGGGCGGGGCAACATACAGCTCTATTTGACAAGTTGGAGAGGAATTCAGACTGAAAAGTAGCCCTCAAACAGACATTGTGAGATTTGTGTAGAATATATCCATCTATTTTATTTTGCCCACTGTCAGGGTGTGACAGGTTTAAAAAGACTTGTTTTGGGAAAACAAAAAGGAAGTGGATGTTTGTGCTTATTGTTTATTTGTTGTTGTTTTAGACAGGAAGAAGGACCTGAGTAAGATGAAGAGCCTACTGAACATCCTGACAGATCCTAACATCAGGTAACGTCTGTTGCCTCGATGCGGATACACCTCGGATTATTTATGTCGTCACAGGAAGCTGTGAGACCGGAGACTTTCTCCTGAGGCGTCCTATGTTAATTGTCCTCTGACCTGTCCTCCAGGTGTCCTCTGAAGACGCTGCAGAAATGTGAGATTGCTCTGGAGAAGCTTAAGAACGACATGGCCGTGGTAAGGAGAAGGTGCCTTTCAGCTTCTGGGTCAAGTCTCTGATCAGGCTCTGTTCATCTGCTGGAGACAGTGTTTAGACCGGACTCTTTCTGTGTCTGTTTCAGCCGACTCCACCCCCTCCACCAGTTCCTACCAAGCAGCAGTACTTCTGCCAGCCGCTGCTGGATGCCGTCATGGCCAGAATCCGCTCTCCTGTCTTCAACCACTCCCTGTACCGGACCTTCGCCCCCGCCATGAGTGCCATCCATGGGCCGCCCATCACGTATGTGTTGCTGCCGAGACGGCTGGAGGTCCTTCACTGCTCGAGGTCTGACCCGTTCTTTTGCTCTTCAGGGGCCCCAACATCTCCGGGAGGAAGAGGAAGCACGAGGAAGATGAGCGGCAGACCATCCCCAACATCCTGCAGGGGGACGTGGCCCGTCTGGACATCAAGTTCCTGGTCAACCTGGACCCCTCATTCTGCAGCAACAATGGAACCGTCCACCTCATCTGCAAGTTGGGTGAGTTACAGAGTCCAAAACTGGGACCGGTTCTGAGCAGCTGTAGTAAAAACAGGATCTTCAGTTCTAACTGTACCGTCCTCAGGAGCAGTTCTGATCCGGCTGTTTGTGTTCCAGGTGATAAAAACCTTCCCAGCGTTCCTCCTCTGCAGCTCAGCGTTCCTGCTGACTATCCGGATCAGAGCCCGCACTGGGCCGATGACGGAGAGCAGTATGGTGAGTCAGAACCGCACAAATGCTGCAGAGTCCAGATCAGGGAGTCCCTTTCAGGTTCACTCTGTCCTTGTCTGGAACCAGAATTTCAGACCATTGAGCTGAGGTGCTACAAAACCACTGGTTCTTGCAATGAATTGACATTTTCTCTGTGTTATCCATGGCTGTCGGCGAGTCGGCCTCCAGATGGAGATAAGAGAACGTTTTGGGAGCCAGTTGGTTTTCAGGGAGGGCAATACGTTTCTCAAGACATCTCAGAAAAACAATAAAACTTTCATAACCATTGACTAAAAATTATCTGACACTCTGCCTTGAGTTCTTCATGTCCTGTGGATCTTGTGTTCTTGTTGACATTCTTCCAGTTTCTCGTTCTTGCTGACATTCCCTCGTCATTCACTCTGTCTCGTGTTCTTGACGACATCCTCAGTCTCTTTTTCTGGTTGATGTTCTTTGTCTCGTGTTCTTATTGACGTTCTGTCTGTCTCTTGTTCACATCTTCTCCGTCTTGCTTTTTTGTTGACGTCCCCCCTTTCTCATCTTGTTAACATTCATCCGTCTGTTATTCAAATCCTGTCGTGTTCTCGACGTTCCGTCTTGTCATTGATTCTCTATTTTTGTGTCTCAGGTGCGAACAGCTTCCTGCAGACGGTCTACAGGAACATGACGTCCAAACTGCTGCAGCTGCCGGACAAACACTCTGTGACGGAGCTGCTCAACACCTGGGCTCAGAGTGTCCGGCAGGCCTGCCTGTCAGCAGCCTGAGACTCCGCCCACTGTTAATCCTTACACATAAACCCCGCCCACTCTTACTCCTGACACCCGAGGCCCTGCCCACTGTTACTCTGGACATTACCTGGTACACTTGGACATTAAAAGAGGAAACCGTTTACCTGCAGGTCAGAAACCTGCTGTCAGATTGATTTGTCCCATTACCCCTGAATGCAGCACCGGTTTAGTTTTTCTCACATATTAAAAATTTGTGTGCATGATTTTATTTTTAAATAAAATTAGTTCATCTTCCTGCTTGTCTCCAGTTGTTCACTCAGACAAATCATGTGATAGTTAATGGTTTTCTTCCTGAAAAGAGCAGAAATGAAACCTTCTGAGCAGCAGGTGGAGCCGTTTGTTGACTCTCCGGTGATAAACATGTTTATTAAAAACGTTTCTGGGGTCAGCTCAGTTTTTCCTTTGATAGGCACCAGAACCTGAACCGGTCTCAGTTTGCAGTTCTCCGTAGACCTTTGTTTCTGACCCAGATCTGGTTCTGGAGCATTAAATGACACCGTTTGTAGAAAAAGCTTTTATTGTGTAAAACGTTAGAAGCTAAATGAGAACGCTCGGTACGACAGGTTGGTGAACACGTCCACCTGGCTGCTGCTGCCGCCCACCGTCAGCACCTGCAAACAAACGCACCTTTACCTCCCCGCCCCTTCACACATGTCACTTCCTGTGCTGCGTTCAGGGACTCACCCGGTGTTCGGAGCTGTTGCTGTTCAATTGCAGCGTGTTGAGTCTCGATGGCGTGCATGGGATCTGAGCTTTGACTTTGCCGCCCAGCAGACAGTGGGACACGAACGCACCCTCCCCCACCGCCAGAATCTACACACACACACACACACACACACACACAGTTTGTTAGTTTGTTTACTGGTCTGCGAGCTAAGCCAGTGGTGGTTTCTCACCATGTCCTGGTGGAAGGTGGCCTGCCGCTGACAGCCGCTCAGAGGAAACACCGAGGTCGGAGACAGAGAGCGGAGATGCCACAGAGACATCGAAGGACCTCCTCCACACAGCTGCAATAACAACATGTAAACAGCTGAAGGAGTGTTCCTCCTCAGAGTTCTGAGTGACAGCACTTGAACGCATCACAAACATTTCAGTATTTACCTCAGGATTTGATTCTGGGATTTACTGAGATATAAAACTGAAATCCTGAGCAGTGAATCTCTCAGACCTAAAATAAACTAAATTGTTTAAGTTTTCATTCAAACAGGATTTTGTGAACTAAAACAATGTTGAGTTCAGGGACATGACATTCTGTGGTAACTTCAAGTTAGAGCTGTCTGACCCGCTGCAGAGTGAGAGTTCTACGGAGCAACAGAAGGTGGTGTCCCACTGAGTGTTGGAGAAGATCTGGACAAACATTTCACTGCTGACAGTTTCCATAAAAATATGACACATTTTCCAATTCACAGCATCCATCTGGTTCTGGACTCGGGTCTTGGGGCAGCAGTTTGATTGGAGAGGTCCAGACACTTCTTCCAGATCTTCTGGGAGGACTCCAAGGTGTTCCAGACCAGCTGAGAAACAACACAGAACCCCTCCCACAGGAAGCATCCAGGGTTCATCCTGACCAGATGTCTGAACCACCTCCACTGTCTCTTCTGGATGTGGAGGAGCAGCGGTTCTACTCTGAGTCTCTCCTGATAACTAAACTTCTCACCCTATCTCTAAGGAGAGTCCAGCTACCCTGCAGAGGAAACTCATTTCAACCTCCTGTATCCACGATTTGTTATTTCAGTCACTACCCAGAATTCATGACCAGAGGCGAGGGTAGGAACATAGACCAACCAGTAAACAGAGAGCTTTGTCTTACAGCTCGGCTCCCTCTTCACCACAACGGACCGGCACAGAGTCCACAATACTGCAGATGCTGCACCGATCCGTCTGTCAATCTCACGCTCCATTCTTCTCTCACTGGTGAACAAAACCAGATACTTGAATTCTTCCACTGAGGCAGAACCTTAGGGACAGTCCACCCTGTTCTGACTGAGGACCATGGCCTCCGATCAGGAGGTTCTGAATCTCGTCCCTGCTGCAAACCAAACCGCTCCAGTGACAACCGGAGATCATGGCATGACAACGCCAACAGGACCACATCATCTGCAAACAGTGGAGAGTGAATCCTGAGGCCACTGTAGTCAAAGTTCTTCCAAACACTGGCTTTGAGTGCAGAAGAAATTGCTTGTTGGGTGCTGTTCTTCTGCCTTTTACACAACGTTATTGACAATAAATCTGTCCTGATGCTGCTCAATAATCCAGGGAGATAAATGTAACCAGGTTGAGTCAGGTCCTCTGGACAGGACTGAACTTCAGTCAGGAATGAAGAAGTCTTTCTGAAGAAAAGACGAAACATTTCAACGAAGAATAACTCGTCCAGAGAACCTGACTCAACCTTGTTAGATTCTTCAAAAAGTCTTCAGTTAATCCAAAATGCTGCTGCCAGAGTTTTAACTGGAGTTAGTAGGAAAGATCATATCTCTCCAGTTTCAGCTTCTCTCCACTGGCTCCCTGTCAAATCCAGAATTGAATTCAAACTCTTACTTCTAACCTACAAAGCTCTCAACAACCTAGCTCCATGTTATATCCAAGATCTTATTGTTCCATATTTTCCTAAAAAAGCACTTTGCTCTCAAACTGCAGGTTTACTTGTGGTTCCTAGAGTTTCCAAAAGCAGAATGGGAGAAAGATCTTTCAGTTATTGGGCTCCTCTCTTGTGGAACTAACTTGCAGTTTCTGTCCGTGAGGCTGACACGTTGTCCAGTTTTAAGACTGGGCTTAAAACTTTTTACTTTTTGATAAATCCTATAGTTAGGATCTGCCTGGGTTTCCCGAGAAACCCCTTAGTTCTGCTGCTATAGGCTTAGGCTGCTGGAGGACAAACGGACCACAATTCCTCTCTCTGCTCTGTCTTTACTTGCTCTACTCTTCCTGTTTGTATTTGTAATTTATTTCTATCTTGACATGTTTTTGTCTTTCCTCTTATAGAAACCACACTGGACCCGTCATTCTGTGTTTCTACTTCCTGTCCTCTCAAACCCAGCCGGTCTAAGCAGATGGCCGCTCGTCCCGAGCCTGGTTCTGTTGGAGGTTTCTTCCTGTTAAAGGGAGTTTTTCCTTTCCACCGTCTCCTTTGTGCTTGCTCAGGACGAGAGACTGTGACGAAGTGAAGATTCAACACAACCTGCTGCTTCCTCAGAAAGAGAACTTTTACTGATTGTCTTATAATGTCTGAATGTTTTCAGTGTCCTGACACGACTTCTGTTGGGACTTGGAGCTGCAGAAATAAACTGAATTGAAATGAGGGGGGGTGGGGGGAAAGACCAGAGAAAACTAAGGAGTCCAACTAGTTTTTGCAAAGTTACTCAAACAATCAGTTTTTCTACATTTTTAAATGAATTCAGAATCCTTCCTGTCTGTGTTACCATCCAGTCAGAGTCCATGGTCACACAGCTGATCCACTTCCCGTACTGAGGCCGTGCGCAGCTCTGAAACACACCAGACTCGGGTCACTTCTCTGGTATAAACATGGTCAGCTGATGGATCAGCTGGTCTCAGGTCAGCTCTCACCTCGTACTTGTAGATCTCGATGCAGTGAACGCACTGACCCGTCCTGCTGTCTGAACAACACACCACCATCATCATCATCATCCTCATCATAGCTGCCTGCTGATGAACACCTGATGATGTCACTCACTCACCCCACATCCTCACAGCTCCATCTTCACCGCCTGACAGAAGCTCCGCCTCCCGCTCCCGGACGCACACGCAGTGCACGTAGTCTGTGTGGCCCTGCAGGACAGCCTGTGGAAAGAACGCGGCGGTCACGTGATTGTTACTTTTGTCGTGACGAGGGACGAAGCGACGCACCTTAAAGACTCCCTGCTCCAGGTCCAGGACGTGGATGTTGTTGTCCCCGGCTCCGACCACCAGACTGTCGTCCTGACAACACAAACCGTCCAGATGTTTGCACTCTGTCTGTGTGTGAGCGCTGCAGTCTGAATAAAGTTGGATTCAAAATGTCAACGTGTGTTCTCACTTGGGGGTTGAGGACCATGCAGTTGATCTCTGGGATCTCCAGACCGGACCTGCTGAGGGACAAGCAGAGACATGAGTTTGTCCTTCGGGACGAACAGAAAGCAGAAGACTCGTCCTCACTTGTAGTTCGGTCTCTTCGTCCACAGAAGCTTCGCGTTCTGAGGAGACACAGAACTTCAGAACTTCTCACAAACTGCGCGTCGTTTCTGTTCAGGGCTCGGAGGACCGGTACCTTCTTGGTGAGTTCGGTCCAGCTCCAGGCGCTGATCTCGCCATTCCCTGCACTCAGGAGGACGCTGTCGGTGGACAGGAGACTGAAAACTGGACCTTCATGAGCTGCGTGAGACGAGAGGAGAGCCACGACTGAAATCATCAGAGTGTTGGGCCGAGGACAGAACGCCAACAGAGCCTTTTGTTTTCACATGATTAAAAACAACTTTAAAGGCGGCTGTTTTCATCCTGAAGATAATTTTATTATCTTAAAGGCTGTAGTCCCTCACTGCACCCAGTTTTATATATTGTGTGTGCATTCATCTCATCTTCATCGCCAAAGTGTTGAAGAGCAGATCAGCATTTCTCCTAAATAACCTGCCATGGAGGGGCGCACTGCGGGGGGGGGGGGGGGGTCAGTAGGCAGGGCGCGCTGCTTGTATAATGTAGGGAAACACTGAAGTGTTTATAAAACTGTGGGAAGGGTTTATAAAGCCTTAAGTATATATGAATAAAATGAAGATGACGCCGATACTTCGCAGATTTTCACTGTACTCCAAATACAACTTTTTATCTTTAAATACTTTATTTTATTTTTATGCCTCAAAAATCCTATAAAGCAGATTTATACAAAGTATAAATACTGACCAAAATGTGTTTATTTCATTAAACTTATTTTTTAAATGAAAACAAAATATTTTAAAACACTGCACAAAACATTATTTTACATCCTAAAACAGCTTGAAATAATTTCACAAAGTTCTTTATTACGCCATAAAAAAGTTAAAAACAATTTTTACAGCTGAAAACTCTGAATTGCAGCAAAAATGTGTTAAAAAAAAAAAACTTTACCACTGTAAAAATGGTTTAAAATATGCTGTTTTTAAATATTTTATTTAATGTTTAGTTTCTCAAATCTGCCTTTTTTTTTTTAGACAAACTCATTTTGTAGAAACAGTACGGTGATGTCGCTGATTTATATCGTGTCCAGACTCCTCAGAGACTCAGCGCAACAAATTAAATGCACCTCGCAGGTGTGCTGGACTCACCTGTGAAGGTCAGGACAGGCTTCTGATTGGCTGCGGTGGCGTCCGGACTCAGAGCTGCAGCCAGACTGACACAACAACAACAATAACAACAACAGGTGTGAGCTTCAGACTGAGCACAGGTGAGCCAGAGCAGGTGCGTTTGTTTTGTCCTACCTGAACAGGCCGATCTCTCCGTAGTTGTTTCCAGCAGCCAGGAAGCGTCCGCAGGGAGAGAAGCTCTGGGAGAAAACCGACATGTGGAGCAGCTGCAGACACAACGGGAACCAGTTCTTATCGATTTAAACTCTTTAAATAATTTAATAAGAAATCACCTCGTAGGTAAATGTTTACAGTCAGACACAACGTTCAGTTCAAGAGACAAAACAACAACAGTAACTTTTAAAACGCTCCAACCAGGAAGGTTTTATAATGAAAAACATACTAATAACTTGCTTAACAAAATAACTATGAATGACTGACGTTCTAAAACTGCAGATCTCAGGTCAGTCTGGAGGTGTCTATGATCTGGATCATTAAAAAATAAAAACATACTGACATTACTGACTTTTTGTATTAGAATTAGAAAAATTAAAAAGAGTTATTCATTTTGTTCTGTTACTTGGAATTGTTATGTTTTTTTTTTTTTTTTTAATGAATGAACTTTATACCATACATAAGACTGAAAAAACACACCGGTTTGTCTAATTTGTTGTCTGCACCTCATATGTGTTGGTCTAAAACAGGTCTCTTGTAAATGAGTCAATCATTCAACCTTTATTTATACAGATACATCACATTGAGACTCTTTTACAAGAGACACCTGTTTGTCCTGTGACTCAGTGAGAATAACCTGTAGAAATAAAGGTCGAATGAATGAATAAGTTACTAAAATTTAATATAAATAATATAAAATAATATTCTATATAAATAGAACAGAACTGAATAATTGAGAATCAGGTTTGGAGTGCGCATGCTCGTCAGTCCGAACGTGTCACGTGACGCAGGAGAACCGACGCGACCCTTTTTCTCGTTCATTCAACCAACAAATTAAACTAATTTAGCAGTTAAATCAGCTCCAAAATGCTGCATATATGAGCCGATTAAAACGTGAAGCTTGATTAAACCTTATAAAATTCAAAACTTCTCGTTGGGTATTTTTTTCTGTGTGTTTGTTTAAAGGAAACAAAATACATTCTTATTTTTAAACGGAGTTTGTGTTAAGTGTTTCCTCAAATTGTAAAGCTTATTTCGATCAAAGCATTACAATGACAAAACCCTCACTGTTATCCCTTAATTGTTTTCTGGGTAAATAAAATATAACATTAAGTTTAACATTTAATGAGGAACAAGAATATTTAAAGAACAGCGGCGGTTTTTACTTCCAGTCAGAAGCGTATGAAAAACGAGCAGAACAAAGTTCACCTCTACGGGTCCCATCCTGAACCCAGGAGTCCTCCGGGTTCTGGAAAAAATCACCAAGAAATCAGAAAACGGAGCGAAAAGACGCGAAGCTGCGAGCCAGCGGCAGACTGAGCGCGGCGCTTAGATATGACGTCAACAGGCACGCAAAGCATGCTGGGACGTGTATTGTAATGTGTCAGGCAGCTTATTTCTGCCTCATTCACAGAAAGAATCAGAATCACAATCTGACTTTGGTTTCAAGCGCTCACAGACTTCACGTTTAACTTAAATAAACTTAGAGGATCAAAAAAACAGTGTTTACATTTATACAGCCATTTTAAAAATACACTGAAGGATTACAATGACATTATTTGACTTTCTCTGTTGCAGGTCCAAGACTGTGGAATGAGTTGCCACTGCGTGTCAGGCAGGCTCCCACACTCACAGTCTTTAAGTCTCGCCTGAAAACATACTTTTATTCCCTTGCCTTTGACACGGTGTGATTTGTTTTGATCCTGTCTGTAGTCTACAGTGTTGGCCTTTTAGTTATTATCTGCTGCTATTTGTATCTATATTTTTATTTTATGTTTTCCTGACCGCTGTGCTTTTTCTTTCACTTATTATTCTCAACTTCTACACATCCTTTATGATTGTCTACTGTTGTCTTTGTTGTCCAATGTCGTCATCACTTTTTGTTAAAACCAGGTCTCTCTTGTAAATGAGTCCCTGAGGCTCAATGGGACTAACCTGTATAAATAAAGGTTGAATGAAAAGACAAAGAACACAGGCTGTGTGGGGGGTTTCCGTCTTTATACAGATACATTTATTAATCGTTTCACAGCAGAGTAGCAGTCATGGTGTTTAGAGACCGCCTGGGAAAAAAAAAACTGTCTCTGTGACCTCAACTTGAAGATAAGAGCTTGTGTCCAGGATGTTTGGGGTCTGCAGAGATGTGTTCTGACCCTAACCTGTACAAGTCCAGGATCGAAGGACGTTCAGCCCCGATGATTCTCTCTGCAGACCTGATTATTCGCTGCAGTCTGGACTTGCCTGTTTGTGGATGAGTCAAACCACACAGTGTTGGATGTGCACAAAACAGACTGAACAATGGTCATGCAGATGACCTCCTGTGGTAGGTTGTACTTTGTGAGTTGGTGCAGGACATAAAGTCTCTGCTGGGCCTTCCTCTGAACAGCATCTGTGTGAGGACCACCTCAGATCACAGACAGTGTTGTTGATGATGGTGAGAGGAGGCATTGTGTGTGTGTGTGTGTGGTGGTGGTGGTGGGGGGGGGGGGGCTTTATCTGGACATCCACTGTCATCTCCACAGTCTTGAACGGGTGGACCAGTTGATCAGCCCATCCACTTCCTTTCTGTAAGCAGACTCGTCATTGTCCTGTATCAGATCAATAACAGTGATGTCATCTGCAAACTTCAGGGGTTTCACAGACCGGACCGCTGACGTGCTGTCATTTGTGTAAAGAGAGAAGAGGATGGGAAGCGAACACACCCCTGGGGGGCGCCGGGGCTGATGGTTCTTCTGCGAGAGAAGATGCTTCCGCAGCCTCTCCTCTGCTGCCAGTCAGTCAGGGAGCTGGTGATCCACGGACAGGTGGAGGCCGGCACTGTGGGCTGGGTGAGCTTCTGATGGCGGATGTCTGGGCTGATGGTGCTGAAGGCCGAGCTGAAGTCCACAACTTCACCATCATCACAAGCAATGATGGTGGAACGCTGGAAGCAGGAGGGAACCTCACGCAGCTCCAGACTTCTTGAAGATCTGAGTGAAGCGGGGGTCAGGTGGTCAGCACAGGATTTCAGGCAGAAGGGGGAGAAACCTTCAGGATCTTTCCTGGTCTTCTGATGCTGAAAGAGTGTACATAATCTGGTCTTTAGGCAGGGGATCCTCCAAACTGCAGTTGTGCTTTTAGCTTACAAGCTGCTCCTCAGCTGCTCGCTGTAGCTTCTCTGAGCTGCCCTTACCTCCTCGGTCAGTTTCTTCCTGGGCCCGGTCCGACGCAGCTTCCTCAGAGGTGAAGTGGACCATGCAGGTTAGGACAGTCTCAGCAAACCTGTCCAGATCTGTGGCTGAAGCTTCAAAACCCTCAGTCAAAGCAGACCTGCAGTTTTTGCTTTGACTCGTCCACGTCCTGACAGTCAGAGCCAGAGCCACGTCGAAGGTTTAGACGTTTAATGTCTGAGGTTCAGAAGACTTGTGGACACCACATGTGGTACATGTGGTGGAACGAAATTATGTACACTGGGTCAGTTACATCCAACAATAAAAATGTAAAAGAAAAACAATAATATCTAAGATATGAACTAAGAAAAAACAAACTAAAAAAAAACTTTGCTGTTTTTATAATTATTTGTATGTTTTGTCTGCTTATCTTTGCAGAACTGGACATAAATAAACTCAGCTCTGAGAAGAAGTGGTTATTTTTTCTGTAGCTGTCAAAGCATCACACAGGTCTGTTGTTCACAGAGGGCCCACGGGGGTGGGGCTCTAACTTCTGGGGCCCCTACAGAAAGTTAAAGTGGACCCCAAAGTGGGGACGTTTCTGTCCTGCAGGTCCAAGTTAAATCTGGCCAGTAGGAAGGGAAGTGACCCCAGGGAGTCGGTCTGGTTTTGTGTGAGGAGCCAGGCCACAGAAGAATCAGCCTGGCTCGGTTCGGTTCTCTCCAGCCTTGGCGCTTACTTTCTTCACGGTGGGAGAGAGCGGCACCGCGCGGCGGCCGCTGCAAAGTTTCCTCCTGCGTGCGTTGCCGCGCGAGCGGCACGGCCGCGCGGTGTGAGCGGCAGGAAGTGTGCCGCTGGAGCGGCAGCGGGGGGGGGGGACAGCCGAGATCCAAAAGTCTACGATTGAACAGGAGGGGAAAATAACCATGTCTAATCCTTGAAAGGTGCACATCCTGCGTGCCCACGCCGTGCATCGTGCTCCGCGCGGGCGCAGAGGCCAACTGAGGGGTGAGTTCGGGCCAGAAAACGGACCAGAACCGAGGTTTTTCTTCAAAGGGGGGCCGCGGTGTGTTTGTGAGATCTTTGTGTAGCTCCAGGCTAGCCGCCATGCTAACCTGCGCTGCCTCGGCTACACATTTCACCTCCCCGGATGCGGTGTAAAAGCACCAACAGCCTCTGTCCGGTGTCCTCGGCGCGGTGTCACGGGTCTTTGTTTGTTTTCTTTGTGATTCGGTTGTTCGGGGCTTCCGTTTTGCCCCTTTCTGTCAACGCAGGGGTGCTAACCGATTAGCCGGGCGCTAACGCTGCCGCTAGCTCGGCCGAGCATCAGCCTCCGTTCACCGCATCCTCTGCAGCAGACCTCCGTTACTTCAGGCAGAAATGACGCGGTTCGATCCGGCGCTATGCAGCAGCACGGTTCGGACGGGGACCTGAGCTGAAGCGGGCTAGTGGAGGGTATTTACGGGTTAAACAGCGAGCTAACCCGTTAGCTCGGGTAAAATGGCTCAGCCGCTGAAAGCCATTTTCAGATGTTCGGGGGTCTCGGTGGCTGCAGCTGCTGTCCGCATCATGTCGGAACCACACGCTGCTCCCGGACCGGCGGGCTGCTGGAGCCCCGCTCCCCCGGCTGAAGAGCGGGACTTGGCGGCAGGGAATGCCCGAGCCGCGGCGGGTGATGCTCCGCTTTGTCCAGAGAAATTCCTGCCGAGGCTGGACCGGACCGGGAGGAGACGGGCCAAGGTCAGGCTTCCCCGCCGCGGCTGCGGGAGTCCAGGAAGCCTTCACGTGCGGGTCAGAACCGGAGATTATTCAGCTTAATGTTTGAAACGGGTCATAACCAGGTGTATGGGCTGACCCGGGTCATAACCAAGTGTATGGACTGACCCGGGTCAAAACCAAGTGTATGGGCTGACCCGGGTCAAAACCAAGTGTATGGGCTGACCCGGGTTAAAACCAAGTGTATGGACTGACCCGGGTCATGTTGGTCTGGTCAACCCTTTAATGGACCGGTTCGGTTTGTTTACATCTTCTTCAGCAGAAGTCTTTGAATTAGAAACCAAACAGCTGGTTCTAGGTTCTGATCCAGTTTGGTTCTGCGACTTTTCAGAGCTCCTGTTTTATGTTGGACTCGGTTTATTTATTTAAAATGCGCCAAGTCACAACAGAAGTCTCGGGGCACTGAACAGAAACAAGAAGTTTTTCATAAATCTGCAGATTGTTTATTGTTTGTTTGTTTAAAGAGGAACTGTTAGAACTTTATTTTTAATGGTCCAGTTTCTTGGTTTGAACATTTAGTTTGTTGTTTCTAAATAAATCCGTTTTGAGGTTTTCAGATTATTGCGCTCAGTGTTGTTTAAATTTGTCAATTGAGGTTAAAAGTTTAAACTTTGGGGAGATTTATTTTTATATTAATGGTAAAATCTGAACGTTTAAAGACAGGGATGCACGATATTATTGGCATGGTATCGTATCGGCCGATATTAGCGTTAAAGTTAAATATTGGACATCGGCCGTTCCATCAAAATAACTCACCGATTTAAAAGACGCTGTTTTTGTACGACAACCCAGTGACGAGAACGTCTGCAGCGGCAGCACAACGTGATGACGTCGTGAGCGCCTACCTGATCTGATCACGGCGGAGAGGAAAATTCAAAATGTCGGCGGTGTGGAAGGTTTTTTTTTCCGTTGATGTCTGTTTCCGAAGATTTTTGGACTACATTGAGCCTCGCTACATCGTCCCCAGTCAGATATTTTTCCGACGTAGCCTTACCTGAGTTACAAGCCGTCATTTCCAACGTCATTGAGAAGCTTATAGCCGACAGCACTTGTGTGAGTTTTACCTCAGACATTTGGGCTTTGAACTTAAAAAGGCTGTCCTTCATGCACAAGAGTGCAGAGGATCCAACACTGCAGCTATAGGAACCCGTAACAAACCTCCACAAGTGAGACAGCATCGCAGGTGACTAATGCTAATAAATAATATTTAACACTTTTCATTTAATATAAGTTAAAGTGATGTGCATATCACATGGTGTTACTGAATATATGTCACCAGCTGTTACAGCTGTTGCACAATTTTTGTAGCCAATAAGCCTAAATAAGAGAGAGGGCTATGTTCTTACAAAGGAAAGTATAAATAAAATATTGGTATCGGTTATCGATCAAGTAAGTTTTAACATATCGGATATCGTCCAAAAATCTAATATCGTGCACCCCTATTTTAAAAAACTTATTTGAATCTTTCTGTCTGACTGAGACGACGTCCACCATAGTTGCTGGTCTACACAGGTCCTTCAGGACTCCTGAAGGTTTTGTTGTTGGTCGGGCCGGTGCTTGAGACTTGGGAGTCGTGTGGAGGTTCTGGTCCATCTTGCATGTTGAGCAGGTTAGATGTTGACTGTTCGGCCTGTTGGTTGTTTTTATACTCCATCCTGAACGCTCTCACAGAACTTCTCCTTCTCATGTTACGCTCTTAATCAAAAGTGGATTAAATTAACGTGTCCCCTAAAAGTCCACTCACAGTCCCATGACAAAGTGAAAAAGTTTTTATTTTTATTTTATCAACAAAAACAATCTATAGTGCGTCTTTCCAGTCTTGGAGTTCAGGAGCCTCCTCTTTGCTCTGAAGGTCCTTCAGATGTTTCTGCAGCTTGATTGAGGTCCAGCTGCGGTAATTCCAGCTGATTGGACCGGATCTGGAAAGACCTGTCACCTGTCCAGCTGCTGACATCATCGGTCAGTAGCGGAAGCTTGAGTCCAGCAGAACTCGTAGAGCGGGCTGCCTGAGACTTGTTCCTCTGGGAGGTTCTCCTCTCTACACACAGCTGCTCAGGAGCTCTCATGACCTTCAAGTTCAGGTTCACCTCCCTGACGGAGGCCCTTCCACCTGGATCGGACGGCCCGCTCTGGAGGAGTTCTGTTGGGTCCAGACTTCATTTTGATCGGGCTTCAGTAGAGTCCGTTCGATCAGAGACGGCTGATTTTCAGAGGGAACGATGAAGCGTGTGGCTGCAGACCTGCAGACAGGTGGAGCTCCGATGGTCACATGACCTCTGAACAAACAGCCGGGAGTCAACATTAGATCATCAGAGATGAACTCAGCTGCTGGAGGAGACGAGTCTGCTTCAGTGCCAACACAGAAACGGCTAATTATTTTATTTAAATGTTAACTTCAGCCTCAAAATGTTCATTTAGTTTCTAATCAGACGACAGATTATTTTATCTGCCGTGTTCGAGCTCAGTGAGTTTAAACGGTAAGGTTTAAACTTTTTTTGATGCTCATTTAGAGAGCAGTTTAGTCAGTTTATAAAACTTAATGGTTTCTATTTTTTGCCATTGATGACAAAGTATTTAATAAAACGAGACAGAAAAATCTGTATTTAAATGTTTATTGAGCGTTAACCCCGTTTGCTGTAGATGTAATGTGTAATGTGTAACAGCCATAAAACCATTGATCTGCAGCAGCTGCTGTTTGCTGATAAACAACCGCTGAAAGAAAGAGCTGAACATGTGCTGAAGAAGCCGAAACTCAGCTGGAAGCTAAAAGAAGCTAGCTACAAGGGTTTAACTAGCAAAATGTTATCTTAAAGTAGGAAAATGCTAAAATTTAATTTATCAAAATACTTCCTGAAAGTAGCCATTTGCTAGCCAAAACTAGCAAAATGCTAGTGGAAAAAAAAGCACAACACTAGCTAAAACAGAAAACCAGCTAAATGTTTATTCAAAGTAGAAAAATGCTAGCAAATACAAAAAAGTTAACGAGCTAAAAGTTGAAACAAAATCTCAGCACCCATCAGCTGAAGGAGCTAAACATCCATCCATTATCTTTTACCCGCTTCTTCCGTCGGGTTGCGGGGGTCACTGGTGCCCATATCCAGAAGTCACTGTGCAGGGGACACCCTGGACAGGTCTCCAGTCTGTCACAGGGACACAAAGAGACAAACGAGACAACCATTAATTCTCTCTCTCACCTAGAGACAGTTTAGAGCAGGGGTGTCCAGACTTTTTCAGCATGCGAGCTACTTTTAAAATGACCAGGTCCAAGTGATCTACCTACTATAAAAATACAAAACATATACTTATTTATAAACATATTAAAAGTATGCTTTTTATGTTTTGTGTTCTTGTTTTTAGTATTTTACCATGTTTTGTATGGCACCTTGATTTATTGTTTTATAACACCACTTTAATTTTAATTGCATTTTACTGCAGTTTATTGTCTGTAAAACAGGTCTGTCTTGTAAATGAGTCCTCATGACTCCATTCATTCAGCCTTTATTTATTCAGGTGATGAGATTAACCTGTGTAACCTCTGGCAGCACGACGGCTCAGTGGTTAGCACTGCTGCCTCACAGCAAGAAGGTTCTGGGTTCAATCCCCGGTTGGACCTGGGATCTTTCTGTGTGGAGTTTGCATGCTCTTCTCATGCTTGCGTGGGTTTTCTCCGGGTACTCTGGTTTCCTCCCACAGATCAAAAACATGCATGTTAGTAGATCTGTTGCGATAATCAATTAATCGCATGATAAATTAAAATGAGGTTGATAATTTTCATTTATCGGCTTTATCGTTTCTTCGTGTCTCTCTCTTTCTGCTGAAGACACTGGATGATAAAAGTCTCAACTCCGGTGCACCTTCGCGAGCCGGTACGTCGCATTTGTCATAAAACAGCAGCAACTAAGAGCAGCAATGCAACCAACTTAACAACAGTAACAGTACCATGGTGCCAATGGGACCATGTTGCTAAGAGAAACCTCGTAGCTAACCGAACCCCACTGCTAACAGTGTCATGCTGCTAACTGGACCATGTTGCTAAGATAACCTCACTGTCATCAGAACCACTCTGCCAATAGGACCATGCTGCTGTAGATTTATTCCTTTTTCACTTTTGGTGCCTTGTTTCTGTATTTCTGTTGCATGCTTTGAATAAATCCTAGTTTATGTTAGTTTAGTTTATGTTAGTGCTTGCATTAAGCATGTAAATTACAGCCGAACAGAACCTATGCGAATCGTGCTGCTGTTGTTCGGTGTATTGTTTTGCACTATTAGTGACTGGCGTATATCTTAAATCTTTTAGCGTACCGTTTAGCATATATCTTAGTTTATATCTCACCTCCTTATTTACTCTTTCTTTTTACACGTTATATTTTTGCTATTGTTGGATGTAACTGGGACCCTGTGTACACAGTTTCGTTCCACTACATGTACCACATGTGGTGCGAATGACAAATAAAGAAATTCTGAACTTGCACCTGCACCTAAAGCACAAGCATCCAAAGTTAGTTTGCACGTTTTGTTTATATAACTGGCAGTTTTGTCCGTCTTCTCTATCTAAAACTAATGATTATTATTTTTTGAAGGGCAATGTAGTTTATAGGCTTCATGGTCCGTACTGTTTTGGTTTAATGTAATTTTTATTTCCATTTTTTATTGTTGTATTTAGTTTTTATTCAAGTGCATTTGTTGTTAATGGAGACTGAGAGTCCATTTTATTATTTTTTTGGTTGTTTGGCTTATTTTCCAGTTCCAGTGTTGTTATTTTGAAAAAAAAGTTTATTGATCTTTGAGAGGATGTGCTTGCATTATTGTCATTATCATTACATTAGTTTAAAACAGTCTCCAAACAATATTATCATTTATTGTGATAATTTCTAAGACAATTAATCGCCCAGCAAAATTTGTTATCGTGACAGGCCTACATGTTAGGCTGCCTTCAGGCCCAGACCTCCCTTGCAAAAGAGATCTGTGATATCAATGGGATTTGTCTGATTAAAGGTATAAAGGTTAATAAATTAATAAAGCTTGAATGAATGAATAAGTCCCTGCTCGCCGTGGAAGCAACATAAATGACAAAACCCAAAAGTTTGTTTAAAAAAAAAGTGAAAATTTATTTTTTACTGTTTGCGCACGATATAATAAAACAGCAATAACTTGCGTTCTTCGCAAAACTCAAAACAAGAATAACTTCATGTTTGAAAAGTAACCTGAGAACAAAAGTGAAAATTCCAGAACAAACTAAATACAACAGCTGGCTTGTAACACTAACCATATTTCTTGATACCTGGAGAGCTTTGATGGAAGATAATGTTTCTGGCTTGTTTTTAAAGTCTCAGAAAAATGAGGCAGCTGTTTCAATGAATAACTCTTTTACCATCTCTTTGTTTTGAAAAGACTTCGTGTGCTTAACAATTATTAAAATGACTCGCCCGAATGATGCTTCGGTAGCTGCCTTCGCTTTTGTGGTCAGTTGTAGAAAAAATGCCTGTTATCCAGATAACTGAAATTTTAGTTCCTTCACCTTTTTCCAAGATGGCCGCGCTCAGAGCAGTTGCAGCTTCACAGGCTCCCGGTACCATCCCAGTTTTTAGATTGTTGGATGTAACTGGGACCCCGTGTACATAATTTCGCTCCACCACATGTACCACATGAGGTGCGAATGACAATAAAGAAACCTGACTCTTTTTTTTTTTTGTCAGAAGGAAGTTGTTGTAGTTTTTATGAATACATTAGTCCGAAAATGCCGCTCCACATTTCCCTTCTTTGGAAAAGCAATGGTAGACTGGCAGATGAGACAAACACATTTTGCAAACACTCTACTTGGGTGTGCACCTGAATGACGACCTCAGCTGGAGCAACAACACCACCAGCCTGATCAAGAAATATCATCAGAGACTCAACTTCCTCAGACGGCTGAGGCGAGCTGGTCTGGGAAGCTCAGTCCTCACCTCCTTCTACAGGTGTGCAGTGGAGAGCATCCTGTGCTCCAGCATCAACGTGTGGCATGGAGGCTGCACAGCTGCAGAAAGAAAAGCTCTGCAGAGAGTGGTGAAGGCTGCACAGAAGTCTGTTGGAGTCGGTCTCCCCACCATCACAGACATCTCAGAGTCAGAGAGATTTATTTGTCATACACACCACATGTGGTACATGAGGTGGGACGAAACTATGTACACAGGGTCCCAGTTACATCCAACAAAAACACAAATTGCAAAGAAAAACATTTGTAAGATCTGAGTCATGAACTAAGAATGTACTACATTCACTAAACTAAGAATACACTAAGCACTAATAGTACAAAAACGATGCACCAAAACAACTGCAGCACAAACATGAGTTTGTGTGAGCAGATGAGGACTAATGAACACAGCAACATGAAATAATCAACAGCATGAGATGAGCATCATGGATGGTCAGCAGCACATAACAACCAAGTGACATTTCAGTGATTTTTCACAGTTTTTTCACAGTAATTTTTCCTGATCAAAGATTCATGAATCTATTCATGAATCTACACCTCCAGATGCAAGAAGAGGGCCACTTGCATCATGAAGGACCCCACTCACCCAGCACACACACTTTTTGCCACGCTCCCCTCAGGAAGGAGGTTGAGGAGCATTAAGTGTAGAACCACTAGACTAAGGAACAGCTTCTACCCTGAGGCTGTTAGACTCATGAATATCTAACCAGAAAAATCACATCATGTTGCTGCTGATCTGTTTCATGTTGCTGCTGATCTGTTTCATGTTGCTGTGTTCATTCGTGCTCATCTGCTCACACAGACTCATGTTCTTGCTGCTGTTCGGCGTATTGTTTTTATGCTATTAGTGCTTAGCATATTTTTGGTTAATGTTTTTCTTAGTTCATATCTTAGATCTTATTACTATTTTTCTTTTACATTGTATTGTTGAATGTAACTAGACCCTGTGTACACAATTTCGTACTTGATGCCAAATAATGTAGATAAAAATAAAAGACCAGAAAAATAGTGTGAACACTGAATTATTCACCTGAGCGAGTTTTTTTGAAAAGACACAGCCTTAAAGAAAAGTTTTTTCTTGACTCCGGACCTCATTCAGACCGAAACTGAAGCGTTTAGATGAAACGTTTATCAACAGTTTAGGTTTTTTGGTGGTTATCTGTAAAAATCAACGTAACGTTTTGAGGCTTTGAGCAGAGTAACGTTCATTCTGTGTGAATTTGTGTTTTTCTGCAGTTGGGAGTTTCCATCAGTAACGTTTTTCTTCTTTCTTTGTTCTCTGCAGGGACACCTCATTGGCCGGTGTGATCCCCCCCACAGGCCCGCCACCTCCCAAGGCGGGCCCTGATTGTCTGGATAGGCACTGGTGGGAGAAAATGGCCGCCGCGCTCGGCTGAAGAGTCACACTGAGTTATTTCCCTTTCCACCCCCCCACCCCCCAACATCACTGTTCATGGCTGAGTTGTGAACCGTGAGCCCACCTTCTTCCTGATGCGCTGTAGAGTACTATGGCAATGCATGATATGAGTCGTGCCAAGGGTTTCCCCTGTAAAGAATGTGATATGGTATGTCCGAGTACTCCAAGTCTACTAGAGCATATGAAAGCGCACTACCAGCAGGAAGAAAGTGGACGGTTCGAGTGTGAACAGTGTGGTCGTATCTACAAGCACGCAGCCAGCCTAGCCAATCACAAGAAATCCCACGAAGTGGGCTCCTTCCAGTGTCCGGTTTGTACGCGCACGCTGCCCAATGCAGTAGCGTTAAAGAACCACCTTCGGATCCATACTTTATCCCCCAGTAGCGCACACGCAGAGGAAGAGAACGAGGAGTTGCCTGAGGAGACCAGCCACGACGAGAGGAACTACGGTCTGGCCCAGGACCTTTCGGACGGGTTTGGTCGCTCCCATTTGAATAATAGTGGTACAGGCCACAGTGTCTTGCCGGGCCACGAGACAAACGACCACGGGAAAAAAGGCTCCCCCGAATCTGACGACGCCTGGGACAGACCCTTCAAGTGTGACCAGTGTGACCGGACCTACCGGCATCACGGTAGTCTGGTGAACCACAAAAAGTGTCACCAGCAAGGAACTTTTAAGTGTTCTGTGTGTTTTAAACAATTTAGCAATCTGGCTGCTCTAAACGGCCACGAGAGGACTCACTCCAAGTTCAAGGCGCCGGGGGCTTCTATGGTGAGCGGGAGCAGTGGCAGCAGCAGCCTTCACAGCTCAGAGCGCAACGCCGCCTCCCAGTCGTCTCAGAGTGACGACTCCGCCTCCTGTTTCTGTCACCTGTGCCAGATAGCACTGCCTAACAAGACTGACTTCCAGGAGCACATCCTCCTGCACAACAGTGCCACGCCCTCGCTCGGACTATCGCGCACCTTCCCCGGCATCATGGCTCACAATCTGAGCACTGTGCGCTCCCCGACGTACACCCCTGCCCTCGGGGACCCTCTGCCTCTGCCTCCTCTGCCCACTGAGAAAAGAGGTCCCTATGACCCCATAATGGGCCCCCCAGTCAACAACCCCATCTACACTTGTGCATACTGTGGGGCTGGACATCCTGACTTAGAGACTCTGAAAGTCCATTATCTGACCCATGACCCACACCCACCCTCTCACAGTCAGGACAGCTCCATCCTTAACTCAGACACTCTCAGTTCTGGGTCGCAGGGCTCAGTAGCGTCACCCTCTGGGGGCCGTGTGCCTCAACCCAATTCTCCAGATGATGAAGAGCGCCGCTTTAAATGTGGCGAGTGTGGCAAAAGTTACCGGCATGCAGGAAGCCTGGTAAACCATAAACGCTGCCATCAGACCGGCCATTACCAGTGCACCATCTGTTGTAAGCAGTACCCACATCTGGCAGCACTGCACAGCCACCTGCGGAGCCATAAGGGCCGCTCCTCTAACCAACCAATTGGCAACGACAGCAGCGATTGGCTGTCTCCGGAGCCGCTCACACTGGACTCCCAACAGAGCTACGTTCAGGAGGGCAGCAGCACCACCACTCCAATCTCACTTCCAGGAAACCTCGGGGACACCGCCCACTTCGTGCCAGACAACGGCCACAGCAGCGGCTTGGACTCTCTGGAGTTCCACGGTCGCTTCGATAGCGGCTCGCTGTCTCAGAGCAGCTCTGCCCACCGTCAGGCTGACAGACATGTATGTGCTGACTGCGGCGAGATGTACGGAGATGTCTCAGGCATCAAGTCTCACATGTGTCCCCGCCGTGGCCAGCAGCAGCAGGGCAACATGTCAAATGGTTTCATGGGGAACATGAACTACCATGGCTCCAGTGGGACCTCGCTGCCCTCGGGAAGCTCCAGCAACATGAAGGAAAGTAGCAACCAGAGACCGTATTCCCAAAGCGCAGCCAAAAGGATGGGGAGCAACGACAAAGAGGACGATGATGACGGGGAGGTGTATCAGTGCTCTGTTTGTGGTAATCATTATGCCAGCCTCAGGGCCCTCAGGAGCCACTTGCGCAGCCACGCCAACAACCCAACCGGACCAGGGCCATCTACCCTGGAGCAAGACTGGAGGATGATCTGCTCCACCTGCGGCCAGACCTTCTCTAGGAAGCAGGACCTCCTGAACCACCAGTTAATCCACGGTCCCCAAAGGTCGGACAGCCAGCAGTCAGGTATCTCCGGTGGCTCCACCAATGGAGGCGATAAGATGGATGGACGCAGCCACATCTGTGTTGACTGCGGCATGTTTTTTGTCGACCACCACCACCTGGTCACCCACCTTTGCCCTGGAAAGAATCGGCCTGGCTCCATGAGCAAAGCAGGTCTGAACGGAGGCAAAGGGATGTCTAGAGGAGATGGGGCTGGGGGAAGCAGCGATGTGGGAGGTGATGGACGCAGGTCACTGGTTGACCAAAGTGACAAACCTCACAAGTGTGACCAGTGTGGACGAGGGTACAGACACCCCTGCTCACTCTTAAACCACAAGAAATCCCATAAAACAGGTGTGTTCCGCTGCCTGGTGTGCCAGAAACGCTACTACAACCTACTGGCTCTCAAGAACCACCAAAGGACCCACTTTGACCTGAAAAGGTACACCCATGTCTCTTCTGCATGTCGTTAAGTCTGTTCAAACATTGGCAATAAATTCTCACAGGCTTCAGTTGTTGCTAATTTGAACAAATGAATTGTGCAGATTTTTGCCGAGCAAAAAATCCCCAACAACTGCGAATCACAGCGGCTCAGCTGCTGACTGGTCCGAGATCAGGCCTGAGCAACGTCAGGAAGTTAGTGGTGATGCTGCTGGCGATAAATTACACAAGCGCAGCGTGTTCAGCTTTGGATTTGAATTATACATTTTTTAATGGGTAAAGACTCTTGATTTTTTTATTTATTAATATAATTTAGCACTTTATGGTGATGGTTCTGATGGTTGATCTATTCGTCCAACCCCCTGACTCCAGTGGTATGACGGCTATGAACACTTACAGCTAATTTTGGCAATTTGTGGCAGGAGTGTGACATTCAGTGAGATTCCAAGTTTAATGTGGAAGGTTTTCTTGCAGTTTTGTGTTTCCTGTCAGTTGACCCAACAGTAGCAGCTAAATAAGAAACTGGCTATAAGGTATCTCAGCATTTTAGGTCCAGACCAGTTCATGTCTGGACTTTAATTCACCTTCTACAGCTGTTCAGTGGAAGATATTCTGCTGCGTTTGGGATACTAATATGCAGTCATGGGTAATTTTTTATGAAGAATGGAACTATTTTCTGGGCAGCACGGTGGCGCAACTGGTAGAGCTGCTGCCTCTCAGCGAGCAGGTCCCTGGTTCAAACCCCGGTCCAGGGGCCCTCTGGGTGGAGTTTGCATGTTCTCTCCGTGCATGCGTGGGTTTTCTCCGGGTACTCCGGTTTCCTCCCACAGACCAAAAACATGCATGTTAGGCTGATTGGTAACTCTAAATTGTCCCTAGGTGTGAGTGGGAAAGAGAATGGTTGTTTGTCTCGTGTGTCTCTATGTGGCCCTGTGATGGACTTGCGACCCGTCCAGGGTGTATCCCGCCCCTCGCACAGTGATTGCTGGACATGGGCACCAGCGACCCCCGTGACCCAAAAATGGAATAACGGGTAAAGAAAATGGATGGATGGATGGAACTATTTTCTTCTTTCAAATGACAATACAAAACAAAAAAAAGACACTGTTGTTTTTTTTCTTGAAGCAGCTCTACCTGCAAAGCAACTGATTTAAGAGTAAATCAAACTGTAAGGAAACATTTGTTTTTTTAAATTTTTTTACATTTCCTTTTTTTGTATAAATACCAACTAATTTAAACTAATGAGCCTGAATATTTAAGGGGCAGCTCCAGTCTGCAGACTTTTTAAAGGACTGAATGTTGTGAAATTGTTAATTTGGTAATTACTTCATCTTCTGAACCTATAAAGAAATTAATGAAAACGTTGTGTTTGCAGTGTAAGAGTTCTCATGTAAAACGGTTATATCGTTAGCAGATAAAGACAGAATTTTCTAATATTCTTTATTAGATTAAAAACAACAGAGGACCAATAATACTTTCTTGAGGAACTCCACAACTTAAACTTTCTTATGCTGTCACATAATTATTAGATATAATGAGTGCCGTTTTTCTTTTATGCAAAAGTGGAAATATGCCAGAGATGCTGTGCAAACAGTATTGTTCTTTTGTAACAGGCTTGTTGTTTTTGGTTGTCTTCACTTCTATTCGTTCCTGCTGCAGGCACAAATGTGAGGAATGTGGCAAAGCCTTCAAGATCCAAAAGCAGCTCATCAACCATCTCCGTCTCCATGAGGAGCACCGGGCCAAAGGTCTTGTCCGGACTGGGCCTAACGGTTCCCGCTTCCAGCAGCCTGGTCCATCTCAGACGATGCAGACGATGAGAGGGGATGCCCCAAAGGGTCCAGTTATGGGTGTCAAGTACAGCCACCAAGGTTTTAAGAAACCCTACTCCTCTGCTGGAACCTCTAGGCCCCAGAAGTTTGACCCTGCCGAAAGTGGGCGGCGGCCTTTCGCCTGTGAGGAATGTGGGAAGACTTATCGCCACGCTGGTAGCCTGGCCAATCACAAGAACCTTCACAAGATCGGGGAGTACCACTGCAACGTCTGCAACTCCACATACCCCAACCGCCTGGCCATGAAGAACCACCTCCGTCTCCACTTTGCTCAGAAGAAGCACAACTGCCAGGAGTGTGGCAAAGGCTTCCGCACGCAGCGGCAGCTCGCCACCCACACTACGGCCGGCCTGTGCAAGGGGCCGCAGGGTCCCGGGGCCCAAATGGACTTTGAGTGCGACGGCTGCTGCGAAGGCTTTGCCACAGCCGATGAGCTTTCAGCTCATGACTGCCCAGCCCAGCACCTGCCTTCTTCATCCTCCACCAGCAGCTCCACAAACATCAACATGGAGCGGACCTCTGTGGACTTGGACTCGGACGAGCGGCCGTACGCCTGTGACCTGTGCAGCTGCACCTACAAACATGCCAGCTCTCTGCTAAACCACAAGCACACGCACAAGACGGGCAACTTCCGCTGCAACTTCTGTGACAAGCCCTACACCAACTACATGGCTCTGCGCAACCACATGCGCATCCACACGCAACGCAAAAAGCACATCTGTCATACGTGCGGGAAAGCGTTCCGGCTGGCCCGGTTCTTGAGGAACCACCAGAAAGTGCACGAAGAGGGTGCCACCCCGTTCGGCTGCCCGAGCTGCGGAAAGAGCTTCCAGGGAAGGTCCGGCCTGGCCCGGCACCGCTGTGGGGACAACCAGGTAGGCATGGAGGTCAGGAGGAAGACCGCTGCACCCACGGGGGAGGAAGAGTGTCGGTACACGTGAGTTCTCGTCAGTTGTTTGTGATTCTTCGAAGATGCAAAACAATTAGAGAAGATAAATTTAGGTTTCTACGTGTCTATTACAGGTATATGATCTCCAATCCGGCTTCCTTGGGACCATACGCGTGCCGGAATTCGGATTTTTCTGAAGTTTGGACAGATTGAATTAGACACCAGATAAGTCATCCCGTTTGCTTTCAGTTAGCATATTATCACACACTGTAGTTTGTAGGCTTCCTTCAAACATGTTGTCTTTTCATACTTGTTTTCTTCTGTGACGGACAGATTTGCCCTGATGCTCTTCATGCTGTGTGACTGTGTTTGTTGTGATGGACGCTGAGCAGATAAGATGTTTGAGCAGGAAGTTCAGGGAGAAACTGGAGCTCGCTGCACTGTACACGTCCAACACGAAGCTGTAGTTCCAGATTTTAGAGCGAGAACCGAGCTGTTGGTGCAGTGCAGGAAGCAGCAGATACCTCCCAGTTGTTTGTCCATGTCCCCCTCCCTCACCCAGCAGCCCCCCAGTGACCTGTGTAGAAACGATAAAGCACTTTACCAAAGCTCTGAGCCGGATTTCAGATCATATACCTGTATGTTCAACATGTGAAATATATCAGATAACAGTAGGTCACATGTCCACCTCCCGTCACTAACCTCTCCCCCTCCCCCTTCCTGTCCCCCCCCCCCCCCACCATTCATCTCTGCACAGGTGTGATCAGTGCGGCCGCTCCTACCGCCACGCCAGCTCCTTGCTCAACCACAAGAACACCCACACAGTCGGCATCTACCACTGCGCCGTGTGCCTCAAGACCTACAACAACCTGCTTGCCCTAAAGAACCATCGCCGCATCCATTCCGAGACGCGCCGCCACCGCTGCCACGACTGCGGGAAGGCCTTCCGGGTCTCCTCGCAGCTCTACAACCACCGGCGCGTCCACCAGAAGCAGCGGGAGCTGACCTGTCGGTCCTGCCAGAGAGCGTTCCCCACGCAGGCCAGCTTCAGGCTCCACATGGAGATCACCCATGGCCAGGCGCCGCAGCCCCGCCAGCCCAGACCCCCGCAGCCCCGACCGGGGGGCTCCCAGGAGCTGGGCTGGGGGTCGGGCCTGGACCACACCCTGATGCAGGAGCAAGGACTCAACCCTCGCAGCCTGGCCAAAGCTCGCGACCGAGAGGGCAGCAGCGACGTCGCCAAGCCCCACGTCTGCAACCAGTGCGGGCGGTCCTACCGCCACGCCAGCTCGCTCCTCAACCACAAGAACAGCCACAAGACCGGGACCTTCTTCTGCTCCTCCTGCCAGAAGGAGTTCCCCAACCTCATGTCCCTGAAGAACCACCGGCGCATTCACACCGAACCCAAACGCTACCAGTGTCCCGACTGCGGCAAGTCGTTCCGGGTTTCCACGCAGCTGATCTGCCACCGGCGGATCCACACCAAGGAGAAGCCGTTCTCTTGCCAGCACTGCGACAAGCGCTTCTCCTCCAAGTCCAACCTGCGACACCACATGAAGGTCCACTGGAGCAGCGCCAGGCCGGCGCCACACCTGGCCACGCCCAACTACCTGGGCATGCCCGGGGGCCCCTTCTTGTAGGCTGAGGGAGCCACATCTGTTGAGGTGCCAAATCACAGTCTAACCTTCCTCCTCCTCTTCCTCATTGTGTGCGTGGACAGATAGACTGGCTGCAGCCGCCGCCCCCTCCTCGCTGCATGCAGCCCCCTCCCCCCCCCCCCACACGGCTGCAGCCCCTCAGACCGGCTCCTCGGAGGCCGCCTCGGGTTTGAAACTGTCTCACTCTGAAACTTGTGAGTGAAGCACGACGGCAGCAAAGGCTCATGGGAGCTGTGTGTGTGGCAGCACTGAGCACTTCCTGTTCTGGGGGGGGTCACACACATGAACTCAGAACTCCAGTCTGGACGCTTCAATCGGTTCAGAACATTTATGGACTCAGTTTTTACAAACGGTTCCACAGTTTCATGGCCTGTATGCATTGTAAGGCCTGGACTGGCCTGACCCGGGTTCTGAGTGTTGGGCAGTCGGGCCCAGTTCCAGATCTGGACCGGGCTGGTGTTGCAGATTGGACGTCAGCAGACTGCCAGCCCCGTGGGGGTCACGTCACAGATGAGTCATGGTTCCAGCGACTCAGCTGCTTGGTTCTGTCGGGTTCTGTGCTCTGGACTGGAGACAAGGTGCAGTTCCTGAGCTGAGACTCACGAGGTCTTGCTCTGACGATCCGGCTCACATCGGGGCGGCAGTCTGCTGGAAGAAACCAAACCAGAGCCGGGCTGACCGGACCGGGCCGGACTTTACAGTGCATAAGAGGCGTTGGTTATAAAACATTAAAGTTTGTGGCAGAATAATTAAATTTTATATTAAAGTATCTAAACTGCTGCAACTAAAGAAAAGATGTTCACAAACAACATTTTAAAATTAAATCACTTTTTATTCAGTTTATTATAAATTAATTAACGATGAACTTCACGTGAACACAGAACCTTCAGTAAACAAATTATGAATAATATAAAAGATTCAAATATAAAAACACGTGCACATTTTTCTGGTGCAACTTCTCAAGAGTTTACAGTAATCCTCACGTCTGGCCGGTGGTTCCAGCAGCCGTTGGCCCGTGGATCAGAGCAGAACCATCACGGCTGTCGCTAAAAGAAACATTAATTCTGGACTTGGTGTTCAGACGGACCTCGCTGGATCAGACGTCGAAGAGTCGTCTGGTTTCAAACCTCCGCGCTGCCTTCAAAGGCTCGGTTATCTACACTTCCTGTTCGGTCACATGACTGGTCACATGATCAGTCCTGTTTCTGTGTTTTGCTTCCAGTGCTCCACTGACCAGACCAATTTACAAACAGAACTTCTCAGCAGGCAGTTCTGCTCAAACGGGTCCATTTGTTCAAATGTTTTATTTAATTTGGAGCTGGTTCAGATTTCACTAAAGACAACCGGCCCAGCTGAGTCCATGTGTGTGAACACCCAGGGAAGTTCTGATGGACCTGTGGCCCTGACCCAGCTCCTGGACTGATCCCAGCGGAGCTGAGAGGACCACGTTGTATCCTCGTTCCTCTGCAGCTCATGTAGTAACTCACATATTTATATGGTAATGTTCAGATGGACCCGGGCCGGACCGCAGTAGTGTGTAGGGTGTGTTGATGTGAACCCGTCTGTGGAGGACTGACCCACGCAGGACTTGAAACACGGGACAACTCATCTTCTGCCTTTCTGACCACGTGACGTCGTGCCCAACTTCCCATCATCCACCTCTTCTTCCACAGCTCCGTGAAGGACTCGGTTATGTTCTCCTCGTGTATTTATTGATGTTTCTTTCCCGTTTCCTTATTTAAATGTTCTGTGTGTCCGTCAGCGTGTCCAGGAGCACCGGTGCTAGTGAAAAAATAAACGTGAAAGCCGTGCAGTGACCGTGAAGTGCCGTAGGAGTCCATGTGATCTAGAAGACCGAAGTATTCCCGTCTGTTCACCGTCTCTTCCTGCACCTCGGTTCGTTTGGACACTTCCTGCCTGCAGTTAAAGTAGTTTAGAGAAGAAGAAAAAGGTTTGGAGCAGCTGTAACCCCTAACGTTTCGTTTCCATGCGTATATATGTAATGCTTACTATACACTTTTATAAACTATGTTTTGATAATTCATTTCTTAACAGAGAACTTGTCCATAAACTATAACCTTGCTGAAGTACTGAATAAATAGCTGATTAATAGCTAACTCCGTATGCTTTTCTGTTTGACCCAAGAACTTCACTTGGAAAATGTTTATTAGCAAATTATCTCCTGAATTAACTGCCACAACCCTTTGGAGTCAGTCCAGTTCTATTCAAGATGGCTGACACAGCTATTTGACCTCGTCTAAATCCAAAATGGCAACAAGTTTCAGTTGTTGAACCAACTCAACACCAAACCCTAAGTCTGGACCTCAGACCAGAACCAAGAAGTTGGAAATCCGATTCAGACCAGTTTATAGCTCCGCACCTCCACGTAAACGACCTGGACGTTTTTTTTTTTAACTAAAAAAAGTTTATTCTTGTTCTTCTGCTGTTGGTATTCAAACATTTATTTCTCTAAAATGTTTAGCTGTAATTATTTCCTGCTTAAAAGAAAGGTGTGACATCATGGTTGTGTGTGAGTGGAGTAGGCGGAGCTTAAAGCCCCACATTGATAACTGGTTTCAAAAATACAACATGGCTGCCTCCATGAACCGGCTCCTGCTGGCTTCATGGAGCCTCCCAGGTGGACATTTTAAGGGACCAACTCGTGTCAACTAAACACCAAAATCATATCTGCAACAATATCCATAAACATCAAAACATTGTGACAGTTCTCTCCAGCCAGGTCGCGGATCACTTTGGTCCAGTTCCTCCATGCGTTGAAGACCAGTTTCTGCAAAAATGTTGCAATGAAACCTTAAACCCCCACGAAGGACCAGAAGTACATCAGTACTGAGCGCTGCGTTAAATCTTATTTTTAATATTTAGAAATATATTCAAATGTTTGACAGTAAGACGCCTGTTGGTGCCAGTAGAACCGTTTTTAACGAGTGAATGTTGAGCACGTTTTCCTGACGCACCCTAACTTCAGGACGCAGACGGTCCAGCTTCAGTCCTGCGTTTGTCCTTTAATCCTGCAGGTTTTGCTTCTGGTTCCTCTCTGGCTGATGAACAAACTCCGGTTCTGCACAACAGGCGTTGAAGTAAAGAGGAGATGGCTCCATTCGGTATTTTCTGCTGCTGGAGCTTTGTTTACATGATTGGACCATAGACCAGTCCAACCCGGACAACGAGAGAGGACGGGGACAGTCGGTCCATCAGTACGTCTGATCAGTCCTCTACTTCCTGTGAGCTACAGGTTTTTACAGTTGGGTTGTTCACTTGACCCGACCGTGTCCGGTTTCGATTGTGACGGGTCTGTTCCCCTCAGACACCAACAGGTTCTGTCTGAAGGTCCACGCATCAGGAGACGGTTGTTGATGTTTGGGTGAACTGGGTACGGGTCTTCATGCCGACCCGTTCTGCCTTTCTGGACTGGTTCTGTAGGTCACCTCGTGTTCAAAGCACAAAAAGTGTGATTGGATTCAGTGCACGAGTCGTTCAGGTCGTGCTCGTGTGTGTGGAGGGAAATCTGAAGAATGAATGCAGGAAAATCGAAGAGCGAGAGAAATGAAGGGACAACGTAGACGGAGTGTAGGTTAAGATATTTAAACGTGCACGTCGATGACTTCCAGCTTGAGGAGCAGCAAAGACTTCATGCGCAGCACTCGACCACAAAACAAGAAAACTGGAGAAAGACCAGGAGTGACGGAGTCTGAGCAGCAGGATCATCTGCAGGGTCCAGGTCCGGAGGGTCCGGGGGTCCAGGCCTCGAGGTAAGAAAACTTGTTTTACAGAAGACCAGCTCAGCGAGTCAAGAAAATGATGAAAATGTTTTGAAAAACTCCAAAACCGAATCAATTTCACGGCAGTAAAAATATTTAGAGACGCTGTTGAAGTGAAAGTTCCTCGTTAAAACGATGAACTGCAGGTTTGTACTTTTTCACAATGGGGACATAAAATGTCACCATGCTTCTTTCTACCAAAATAAAAGTTTTAACAAACAAAAAACAATTATCTTCTAAAACATGAAGTACTGTACTGCAACTGGATACTGCGGAGTTCAGTTACATAATTCATTTAGTTACATTATTCATTTAGTTACATTATTCGTATAGTTACATCATTCCTTTAGTTACATCATTCCTTTAGTTACATTATTCCTTTAGTTACATTATTCCTTTAGTTACATCATTCCTTTAGTTACATTATCCCTTTAGTTACATTATCCCTTTAGTTACATTATCCCTTTAGTTACATTATCCCTTTAGTTGCATTATTTCTTTAGTTACATTATTTCTTTAGTTACATTAACCATTTAGTTACATTATTAATTTAGTTACATTATTAATTCACTTCACCACTTGCTCTCGCCGAGATCGTATGCTTCTCCCTCCCTCTCTGCTTTGCTGCTCTGTCTGTGAAACTGCTTGTGAGCGTCTGAACCATAATTATGGACTTGTTTTGATCAGTTGGTCCCTCAACTCAATTTACAACATTTCTTCGAAGAGAAGACAGGCTTTAGGCGAGCCGATTTGCCCTGTTGACACGCACGCAGCTGGATATCTCATCGACTGGAAGACTTGGTGATGTGTCTATCTCTGCTGCCATTTGTGGATTTTAAGGACGCATATTTAATTGGATTTTCGATAACTGGTTCCTGCTTTTTTGGATTTGGCTGGTTGCTGGTTTAATCGACTATCAAGGAAGTCATCGGCAGCTAATTTGGACCCGATCACGCTGCTTGCCTTTATGATGGCTTGGTTCGTGTCTCGAGTACCCAGACTCAAATGCTTTGGGCTGAATGGATCAGATCTTGGGGATTTTACTCAGTCACGTTCCATCGGTGTGGCCATGTTAATTTGGACATTTCGGAACCGAGTCGACCAACACAGACAAGGTAGATGTCATTAAGTTCTGCCTGTCCCCAAAACAACTGTGTGTTTATCTGAATTTGGCTCCCCTGGCTGGTCTTGAAGGTCATCTTATCTGAATTTGCCTGGAGAACATGTGATCTAACGCTCACCACCCCCTCCCTGAGGAATTTCCAACTGATAACCAGATGAAACCAGCTGAATAAACTTGTGTCATCATTTCAGGACTCTTGGCTTCTCA